GCGCCAGAGGAGTTCTGCCGGCCCCCCCAGGATCGGGACCAGCCGCACTTCTGCGACGCTGAGCCAAAGGACAAGCAGAGCACAGCGGCGGGGGTCACCTTGAGGCGGCAGGGCTTGCTCCGTGGGTGGGCGAAGGCGGCCTCGTGGTGGACCTGGCCGCCCGCCCGCCTCCTGCTGACCCTCCAGGTCCCCCCCCCCGGCAGGTTCTCTCCTTCACCGCCTTGCTCAGGTCTGGCCGAGGAAGGGCGGTGGCTTCCTTTACTGAGTCCCCTTCCTCCTCACGGTCACTACTCTCTCTTTCTCTGCTGCCTTTTCCTCTTGAGATCTGCCCCATTTAATTATAACTTTTTAATGTGCCCCTAAGTTCTTCTAGGGCGTTTTGAGGTGATTCTAGAGAGCTCCGAGGGGCCCTTTCTTGTGGGTTTTGACCGTCTTTCAGAGTCTCCTCCCTCTTCCCCAGAATCCCAGAGAAGGTGGAGGGACTTGGGTGCCTTTTCGGGAGATAGGCAGGGTAAAAATATTTTAAACCCATAAGTAGGCTGGGGGGGGTAGAGAATATCTCTCCTTTTGGGCTGAGAAGGCTTCATTCGGCGCCTCCTCGCCTCTCTTGCTCTTCCCCCACCCTACAGGGCTGCCTTTCACTGAGCTGGAGGAACTGGCGTCTCGAAGACCCTTCCCTGCCATGACGCCCCAGAGCCCCTTCCCAGGAAGGGGTCCTCATCCCTCTGCCAGCACCAGGCAGGATCCCCAGGACGGCTCCCGGGTCCCCGTTCTCCCCAACACCCTCCTCTCGGCCTCGGCAGAACGGTCTGGCCATCCCAAGGGCCGGGCGAGCGGCGCTCCAGCCGTGGAAGGAAGCCAGACGAGCGCGGAGGCCCCGAGCGGCGCACGGACCAGGGAGAAGCCCCCCACGGCAAAGCCACCCTTCGTGCCTGCCAGGCCCACCACCCGCTGGCCCCCGTGGGCTTTTCTTCCCACCTCTGCTCCTCGGAAGGACCCTCCGGGTCGCCCATCCGGCCCGGCGTCTCAAGGAGTCCCTGCGGCAGGCGTGGAAGGAGGCGGGTCTGAGGGCTGGGAGCCCACCACCCTTGCACCCCCGGCGGCTCTGGGTTCAAGGGGGGCATCAGCCAGGCAAGCTGGCTGGACTGGGGGGGAGCCTCCTCCGAGCTTTCAGCCTGGGCAGGAGGGAGCGCAGGCCGAGGAAGGGGCAGCCGCCTCTCTTTCAGCTGGGAAGTGGGGCCCACCTGCGACGGGCCCCCCCTCCTGCGTGTGTCCGTCCATCCATCTGTCCCCGTAGGAGCGGATTCTGGCACCGGGGCTTCTTCCTCCTGGTCTCCTCTCTGCAGCAGCGGAAGCCATGCCCACCTCCTCCTCCTCCTCCTCCTCCTCCTCGGGTCCCCTGGTGTCCCTGCCAGAGAAAGCCGGTTGCCGTAGCAACCCCGGGATGGTGCCTTCTGTCTGGTGGGCTGTTCCGAGCACCCGTTTTGGATGGTTATTTTTGGCTGGCTCGGCTTTCAAATGGGTCGGGGGCCCCTCCATCCCCTCCTCCCCTAGGATCTCGGCCGGGGGGGGGCCCTGACGGGGTGGGATCCCGAGGGGCTCCTCCAGGCTGCGCCAGAGGAGTTCTGCCGGCCACCCCAGGATCGGGACCAGCCGCACTTCTGCGACGCTGAGCCAAAGGACAAGCAGAGCACAGCGGCGGGGGGCACCTTGAGGGGGCCGGGGCTG